GAAGGAGACTGTATGGTATCAGTATTGTCTACCTTCTCACGTGTACAACATGTGGAGACACGTATATTGGCCAGACAGGCCTCCCCCTCCCCTATGCACGCGCATCAAAGAACACTTAGATGGTCTCAGCAAGGGCGATGTAGCTACGTTAGGCATGGATCGCAGGCTCAGCTATAACGACGCGGAGGTGGGAGTGCAGGTTCGAATCCTGGCGCGTGAACCCGAAATCCTAGAGCGCAAGACACTCAAAGCGTTTTGGATAGCAGCCCAAAATCAAAAAATCAAAAGGAAGGATGAGTGCCTAGCCATCACTAACGAGCTGTCACCATATCAGAGCCTTTGTGACTTTTGAATAATGAGGTCAGGTAGGACCGAGTCACTAGTTGAATATAAAAGCAATGCAGTATAGTTTTTGACATAAGTGATCTGCATCCACCAAATCTATTATCTAAGGCTTAATCTTGCGTTTTGGTTGATACCGTTGCTTGTCTAGAGGGTTGGGCTGGTTTCTGTGGTCGATAAGGTGTTTGATCGGATAGTTCACTCATGCGTTTTCAACTTTTCAGACTCTGAAGAAGGCGAATTTGCCAATACGTCGGTTTGTATATTGTGGAATAAATATCTGTACTAATCTTGGACGCTGCTAAAGAAACCAGTCAGAAGAATCAACGACTGTCCATTAGTATATCATTGGGTGCAAGATAGTGTGATGCTTTATAATGCTCAGTGATAGTATAGGCTCCCTCGGGGAGCCTTGGAAAAGGCGTAAGAACGCGGAAAGAGAAAATTGTAATTGGTTCTGCTACATGTTGAAGGTGGAGTATCACTGCTATTAACTGAGTCTTCAAGTTTTGTACACAAACCTACTTCTACGAGAGCGATGTCGTCTCGCATCTGTTCGATATTGGCTTGCTGTCTCGTGCAGACAAAGAATGCGCAGCGCATTGTCATCAGGCTGGACTTGATGTTTTGCAGTTTTGGGCGTCACAACATCTAGTCGCATATATGATTTTACTTATCAGCCGCTGATATCCAGAATACGAGATCCGGGCTGCATCCCGAAAAACTGTTGTTGATGTTTTGGAATCACTAATTTCGAGGGAGAGGATGGATATCGATTCAGACAAAGAAAGTTTGATCACCCACAGAAAGCTGGCGAACGTTTTTGTCTTTTGATTATAACATCAGGGCAATGGCGATTACTTGACGTTTACAGCGCTCGAAGCATCGCTATCGATGGTACTCATTGCACTACACGTTATAATTTGATACTCGCCACGATAATGCTCGATAATGTGTATGATTGTAGAAGGAATCTGCATGGCACTCTTGCTGAGCAGTGCCATGGATGTACCTACATGTGAAAATTCTCAGCGTTAGCCAACTGTATAGCAAGTTTGCATCCAATTAAATGTACATGCAGATCAGGAAGACATTTTTATTAGACAATGATACCCAATTGTTATGACTTGGGTTAACACCTCATGCGTACTACTTTCATACAACTTTGCCTGAGACGAAATGGAGAGAAGTAAAAGACCAATGAAAATACATAATCGGATATTGAAGACAGGAAGGTAAACACGTAAGACGTAAGAGAAGGTAGGAAAGCGAGACAGCAGGAAAAAACCAGCTCAAAACAAAAGCAAGGGAAAAAGCAACCATCAAACAAACGAAGCTCATCTGTGCACCTGAACCTCCCGCTGTTGTGTAAGTTGCCCTTAGATAAAGTAAATATGCTGGCCTATGTTCTGATGTTCTCATTCACATCTACTCTACTAATAAATCAAGTAACTACAAGTGTCCCGGATCACCACAAGTACAAGTAAATGAGGACTACAACATTATTATTTATGTATCGCAGCATTGAAATGACTGGATACTACCTTAATGAAGGATATGAATTATTAGGGATTATGTCCAGGGCACGGCACAGGTCGTCTGGAAGCAGGCTGGACTTCGTTTTTGGAGCAAAAAGCAAAGGAGATATGGTTTTTGAGAATAGAAAAAGAATAAGCGCCATTTAATCGAACACAAACTTTTCGGACAGGTTATCACACGATTGAATGCTTCATCGGTATGACGAAAAGTGCGCGCGTTCTGAAAGCAAGGCTAGAATAAACAATGCTTGTTTACAGCGCACAAAGAATCATATGACATCAAAATTGAACTGTATACATAGAATACATTTTGCAGAAAAAATATGCAAAAAGATTCGAAAACAGCATTACCTTTTCCAAAATTATTCCGTCTCCAGACTGTCACCAGACGAACTGAGATCGTCTGGAGCATATATTTGTATCACGTCACATAAGGTTCGGATTTTTCTATCATGGACGGATTTCCCAGTCAAAAATCTATCCCTGAGCATGAAGACATTTTCATGTCATTCCTTTCCTTGTTTCTTGCCTTGATTTCTTCATAAATCGCTTTGTGTTGGATATCGCGCTTCAATGCCAAACTCATGAGCATGCGTGGCATTCAGCTCCAATTTGGACTTTCACACTTATCTCACGTTTTTTCTTTCAGATTAGTAAATTTTTCTTGTTTTCATCTTCTCCTGAGTAGGTAGCTCAAAGAGGACTTCGTGAAACTTCCCAAAGTCAGGGGTGACTTCGTTTTCAGAGCCCTGGTTATGTCTCTTCAAAGCATAAATGTGCCGGCACAAAACCTATTTTTGAGCTAAACCGGGAGTTTTTATTGATTGGTTTTTCCAAATTTCTTTGTGTTTGCTTCCATCAAACGTTGCTACGTGATATGTTTGCAATGTTATATAACTTTTTTCTGCATTGTTTTCCAAATCTCATTAACAAAATGCCTCCATTTCTTAAAGGCCAGGGTAAAATCAGGTTTGAATTGTGCTGAATCAGAACTATACTTGGAATGAAGTAGTCAGGTAGCACGGATTATCATGAAAGAACGCCTGGGAATTCTTGAAGTTTTTGCTTGAAACCTGATCTTGTATCGAATAATCGTACCAAATAATCGTATTCGAATAGCAATGTTATCTTATATTTCTATTCCGAATTTAAATTCAACTACTTAAATATTTTAGAGATGATCATTCAAACGTTATTCTCCGATAAACCACACGCTGTAGCAATAATATGTGGTTTTCTAACTTTAATTGTTCAGATACTTGTTTTGTTCGTATCTACTTTCATTTGCCTTATCAAGAAAGAAAAAGAGAACTTTTGAGTACTTGTTACAGTCAATGTACTAACAACAGATACTGAGATTTACTCGCGTGTATGACTGGAGGCTGTTCAAGAGATTTGCAGAATACCAGGGATTGTGATGTTTGAAAAAACAGACATGAAATTTTCGAATTTCCATCCTATCACCCTTGATCACAAGAGACGACCTTCTGAACGCCCATAAAAGGGTTCGTGACTGAGAGGGATCCAGAGTGGGCTCCATCGCCATTTCGATCAGAGTACCGTCTTTTCAATTGAAGCGCACTATCTCCAAACACTTCACATTTGACGCCGTTTCTTTTAAACATTGAGTATACGTAAAGTGGACATCTTTGTATACATCTTGGACATCTTTGTGAAAATTATTAAGTAAAATGTGGGCAAATCATGTCAGAGGATAAAAAAAAAATATCAATTCTCTGTTACCATAAGACCCTATGCGTGTGTTTCATGCGTGAACAAATCCTGTGAAACATAACCCATTTTGCTGCATACCTTTAAAGCACATACCAACATGTCCGCCAAAAAGTCGAAACTCTTGAAAATGGTTTGCTCAGAAACTCGCCAGCATGCCGGTTTTTTTGCATGCGCGACTGACCCTACATGTGGTTAGACTCTTGTCACATGTGATTTCCACGAATATGTACAATATTTATGCCCTAAATGGATCTTAATGATAAGCATACATGAGCATACCACGTTGTAAGCCAGAATGAATGATAACGAAAAGTCACCATCGGTCAACTCAAATCAAGAGGAATACAAAAAGTCAGAAGGTGGCCCAAAGGCACACGACAGAGCTAGTGGAAGTGAAGTGTGTTATCGATATTCAAAACCACACAGACGATGAGGCGATCATGTATGCATGCTTTAACAGACATTCTAGAAGTAGGAACTAGCCGGACAGTTAAAGGAACAATGTCAAATGTAAAAAGTATTCTAAGCTGATTCCCGTGTACAAACAAAAACACCTCTACTAGAGGAGTACTGAGCAGCATCGTGGCTTACTGGCTATGAATTGTAAGTGGAAAAGCATTTCAATAGTTACTATCATTTTGTCGATTTGTCGATTTTGCCAGTTTTGCAATTCATGAATATGCGAATCTGTAGAAAAAAAGACAATTCTCCATGGCATTGATAACACTTCAATGCGAACCTACCACAACTCCACATCCGCGCTCCATTCATTCAGGCTTCGAAAACTCCTTTATCGCATACAACGCACTCCCTCGCCGTCATGCAGACTGAGTGCACCCATGCTCTGCATTTTCTGCAGAACCACCAGAGCAAGCACGGTTGCGCCCACCACGATCTCCTCGTCCTCGGGGTCGTCCAGGAAAGGCTGCGTGTCATTGCATATGACACATATGTTATGCGTCTCCGTATTGATGTCATCCGTATAAATTGTTGAAGACATTAGTTTTTCGACTTTGCTTTGCGCTATCTTTTCATAACAAAATGTGCAAAAGCAGGAACACAAAGCACCTTCGGCATACTTTTTCCGACTGAGTTCTTTGTGTGGTGTGTTCTGTGTGGAATCAATCACGGAGTGTTAGCTCCTCCTGAAAAAAGCAAATCGAGCTGTACTTTTCCTTTGCTTGCCATTCTAACTCAGCTCCTCCACCGCTTTTCGGATATGCTCACGGGTTCGAAGCAAACTGGAAACTTTTTCTTTATCAGCGGACGCGCTCGTATTCCACGAATACGAAAGGCTCTCGACATATTGTAATAGAAGAATCTTGGACTTATCAAAATTCATGCCGTCTGTGCGACTATCCTATAACTCAGCCACAATAGTTTTCTTCAAATCATCCAGGATGGGTCTTCTTCAGTTTCCAAACCTGCTCCAGCCTGTGACAGATCGGTTTCCGGAAGGCAGTAGTTAGACGGTGTCTTTTCAGTTGCCGAATCCTGCTGCTCCATTTGTGAGAATTCATCTAAAAAGTATCAACAGACGCAGTGTCAATGAAATGAAAAGCTGCAACTTTGAGTTTGTACGGTTTCTGAGGCGTGTCAAAAGATGGCACGCGCCATTCAATTGAAGAAGTTCTCTGAATTGCATAGTCCTTGATCTCCATTGCACGCTTGTGTCGAATTCTCTTTAGCGCATTTTCCTACATTATTCCTTTTTATTCTAAACAAGTTTGTTTGCGAGCTTATAACATAGTTTCTACTGTGCAAATAACCTGAATACGGTGATCTCGTGCCAATAATGGTTTGATATCTATTCATGCATTAGCTGGAGCTTCCAAGGAATGTATACTTGAAGGTCCGATGTCATCTCTCACAAATCATAGTTGCATTTTCTATAGACGCTTCACGATTGTAAGAAGCCCATTCTTCTTCTCCCCTCGAATAGTAGCGCCGGAAGTACGCTTCAAAAGCGTGAATGCTGGGATCGGTCATTCTGTGCTCAGCCAACAGACCAAGCAACATGCTTTTTGCTTTCGAAAGCTCAACCTTAATGCACTGGGTGAAAAGTGTTTTCAGCCAGCCTGAAATCCGTAGATAGGTTTTGCAAAGAAGGAACAGGGTCCTTGCCTCCCACCAAACTCTTTTTTCGCTACTCCCCTGTAATAAAGTACATCGAAGATTACCGCTGGCAATGCCATGCGCACAGGAGCTTAATGGTGACGGCAGAGAGGAAGAGCTGAGAGAGAGGTAAAGCAGAAAGCAGAAAGCCGTAAGGTTTCACAGCAAACAGTAAATGCAAGGATTTCCTTCACAAAAAACTACCTCTCCTTTGATTCTGGTGACCTTAACTATATTAAATAGCTGACGCTATCGAAAAAAGGTCCGCTGCCCTTTAGCTTTCTATTTTGAGTATTAATCTTGCTTATCACTTCATTCGCCCTGCAACCAAACTGGTTACGTACAATGTCGAAGGCTCGTGGCTGCTGCGCATATTTGCAGCTTGAGTGCAGAAGCGAACTAGCCTTACTCGTTCTTGCGTTACGTCAAATGAGTTAGGAGAACAATCAAAGTTAGGGAGACGGTCTTTTCGCACGGGCGATCTTAAGCTCCACCCTGATTTTGACTTGTCTGATCACGTCACGCACTCCGCAAACCTTTCCTCCCCTTGCTTTGCTTAGGCTGCGTTCATACTGATCCCGAAGTCCGGGAACAGTTCCAGCACAGCGCTTGAAATGAGCGCTATGCTGATACTGTTCCCGGACTTCGGGATCAGTATGAACGCGGCCTGGGAAGCCGCCGCAGGATGTGTCGCGCGCTGCGGTGGTCCTGTATGGAAAGCATAACGGTCGTGCGAATCGCCCTACACCCTCAAATTTAGGATATATGATTCTCAGAACTTCCAAAGAGATCTGTTTTGTCATTCAAAAGTTTTTCTCCATGACAAGCTGACAACGGCAAATCAAATGACACACTAACTGATGAATGCTAGAAAAGTTCGACAGATGCCAAGATGAGTTCGCATCATCATAACCGTAATTATAGACAGAGGGGAAAAATAAACAAAATCCTATCTTTGTGTCTCATGCACCTGGTCATTCTCGTGATCTGCGTTCTCTGGGCATGCAATATGACGATGGGGTGCAGTGGAAGTGCAAAAACCGCGAACTCAGCACGCAACAGCACTGGGAGTGCAAGAACCACGAACTGGGTTCGCAACACGGGGAAGCGGCGCACTGGAATTGTAAAAACCATGAAAACTTTAAGGAAAGGATAAAAAAAGGAAAGAAAAGTTCACCTATCTTGCTCATCCACTCTCGCATTTTCCTCACTTGGGTTCACACGGCACATACCACGGAAACGTAGTGCACTGAAAGCACATATCCGCTTGAATACACAGTAGGCGACATTAGAAACGTCCAAAAGCCGACAACGACAAAGAGAAAGTTGAATCGACCCCTAAATAACACGCGTAAGTGAAGGACACCGCCAAATAATTTGAAGCAGCAGGGTTGGCTAGCTGCCAGTTGCGGCTGTGTGTCCTGCGACGAAGAGCTTACTTTTTGGACATGTCCGACCTTTAGCATTTAAAAGCAGTTTCCCGGCAGATTTCGCATTTCCATCTTTTTGCATGTTTTGGGCCTTTTCGACCCGAAGACCCCGAATTTGAGCTTTGAAATGGGTGAAAAGACCTTTCTCTTCGGGGCGTTTACCCAATTTTTAAAAAGCAGCTCGGACGAAAATTTCAGTGGAAAGTTGGGAGGTCCTGGCACGAAGACCCTGCTGCCTGTAATTTTTGCTTTGGATAGCATGCAAAATGCGAGAGAGCGGTCGTGGGGTCCCGCGCCGAACGGTAGGCGAAGTCGTCCAGCGCGCGCCGATTGGGGTTGCGCGCGCCGGTTCGAGGGCTATTTTCTCGGCCCAGGGGAAACATCAACCAGCCGGACTGCGCCTGTAGGTCAGTGGGATGACCAAAAACCGTACCATGGCAATATCCTCCAGGACGCGAATCTGCCGGGACACTGCCTTTAATGGTTTGTAGAAAAGATGTTTATTTCAACTAGAAGATATATCAGATTTATATTTGGTCATTATCGTGCTTGCTGCTCTTCTTATTTATTCTCACGAAGCACCTCATTTGCGCACCAAATTTACTGCTCATACCAAAACTCCTCGATCATTTTCCATCCCAGCGCTTTCTTCACGTACACTTGCTGACTATTGCTTAGCTGTGCGCCTCTTGTTTCCTTTCTGTTTTTGAGCGAAGGGACCATCTGGCACTATGGCTAATGAAGTAGCTCATATTTGTCCAGACTAGATTGACAATTATTTTTATACTGCTTTTTTTCTGACCATTCTCATGATTATGTGTTTTACATACCATCTTCTTTTCACTGCCAGGAAAAGTTCAAATTTAGGCTCAGTTATTGTTACTAACAATACGGTATGCTGCTGCACTGCGTTGTTTTCTAACCGCTCCAAATAGATAGTAGAATTAGCAGGGCACTTTTAGGTACATCGAAAACAAATAAATAAATATGAAAACTCCAGGAGATAGCTCGCAAAAGTTACTCGAAGCAGGGTTTGTACCCCTGACATCAACTACATTGAAATCCGACAATGACGCTGCGCTATCTGCACTGCGAATCAACAGTGGTGCTAGCATGTACAATTTTATGGTAGTTACGCAGGAGTCACTACTTCTACAATACTGATATTTACTAGGCACATTGCACTAGTAAAACATTACACATGCACTAGCAGTCTCGCACGCTCTTTTGGTCGTACTAAATTAACTTCGTTGCTCTGCCTGCTCCAGGCCCCTTCCTTTCTGGTACGCCTTCAAAATTGCCTACATAGCGCAGCTGCCGGGGGCGTTGTTATCGCAATTATCAGTGGTTCGGTCACGCGTTTGTGTTAGTTTTGCGGCGCCCTGCGGAGAGCTCGCTATAGTCTTGGGAAAATTTTGAGCTATCACGACATAGTCCCTTTATGTTATGGCGACCAGGGGGGTTTACTACGGGCACTGAAGCCGTTGAGTGCGAGACTGTGCTTGAAAAGTCATAAAAGTGCTTTTCAGCATTTTTCGGCCTGGGAGATTGCTGAAGGGTGGGCGAGGGATATCCGCCAGAAACAGCGATGGCTGCTGGATACGGTAACTCCACCATTTTGGCGACAACTAGCTGATCGGACCAGGCGGCCAATCACAACTCGGTTGACAATCGCTCCCCCATCCCCTTCAGCAAATCCAAGACCGGAAAGCGCCATGAAGCACTTTTTCGATTTTTGAGCACAGACCTCGTCTCAGCGAAACCAGAAGGTCAAGGAGATATAGCTCATAATTGCAATTTTTGCGAGGCACTGCCTTTAACATCCACCCGACAGGCCTTTTTCAGTATGCTTCTATGGCCCTTCCTTCCAAATATGCGCAGTATACGAACTTCCCGCGTTCGTATCGTACTTGGCGCTCGAGGAATTTGAGGTGAGTCACAGCATTCAAGTTTCTCACAGATCAAACACTATGATGGCTTATCGATGATTTTTTATGCTTAGGGATCGTTCATACCGCGCACAAAGGCGGACGAAGCCGGACGAAGCCGGACAAAGGCGGACGAAGCCGGACAAAGCCGGACGAAGGCGGACGAAGGCGCGGTCTCGTCTCGTCTCGTTTCTCTCGACACGCACACACACTCACACGCGCCTTCGTCCGCCTTTGTCCGGCTTTGTCCGGCTTCGTCCGCCTTTGTCCGGCTTCGTCCGGCTTCGTCCGCTTTCGTCCGCCTTTGTGCGCGGTATGAACGATCCCTTACTTTTAGTATGTTATTCTCGCCATATTCGCTTATATATCTAAGTGGTTGACACAGTTAAGAGGGCACCGGTTTTGTGTTTTCTATGTCACCGTTCAAATGTTTCCTTACTGTTCCTTACTTTGGTTACTTCATCATTATCGATTGTATCCTTCTCACAGTTACTCGCTACCTCACAGAGTTCACAGCAAAATCACAGTTCCCTCACAAAACCCCTCACAGTAAATCACCGGCTACTCGGATGGCATATATTGAACCTATACTCTTATGTATTATCGGCGTAGCGCATTATAGTTGTCAGTTGCTTTTTAGTAATAAAAATTTAGTTACCCAAGTTTGAGGTGTTCTCGCTGTGCGTGCCGCATGGCAGCCGGTCAGCAATCGATACACAGACCACTCACCGATCATACACGCAGTCACTTGGTATTCTTCCCTTGTAAGATCGAAACTCCGCTGTCACTTTTCAAAGCTACTTTTTGCAGAATGCGGAATTCATCCTTTGATGATACTCACTCTACGCACATTAACCAAATTTCTCCTAAAAAATCCGACTTTGATGCACAGAAAATTTTTCCTCGTAGGCTTGTATTCCGATAATTCGTGAGCTATGAGGACGTTCTACCTGATTAGATGAATGCCAACTTACAAGGAGAGGATGCTTACTCGAAAGCACCAATCCAAATAAGACATATATCATCTTAAAGCGCTTGAAACGCTGATTCCAAAACTGCAGTTTCTAGCTGCGGAGCGCTTTTGTAGAGGGAGTTATGAGGGGTGTTTCTCCCTAGGGTCGAGGCGCCCTTCACCATGCCTCCCTACCTATAAGCACTGTAGAGGACTACCAAGTGGTGGCAACTGGCCTCATGGTAAGTAACTTGAATGAAGTACAGTAAGGATCATAATACTCGTATTACTTTGGCTTTTTAACACTTCTATAGCATCAATATCATCGAAAATTTCAAGCTTTAGAGCTTCAAAGCCATTTGGAGGCTCAGTTTTGCAAAAACTGCGATAAAGTTGCATGCGAAGAGGATTAAACCTTGACACTCTCCTTACCAAGCATGTCACTTACAACTAGGTCAGTTGCCACCAGGTACTTGTCAGGATAAGGGATGTACGGGCCCTTACCTGAAGGTGTAGCGGTGTTACAGTGGTCAAACATAATGATTATATATGTTTATTACTAAA